TCAACTTTCATAGATTGAATGTTGCTAAAACCTTATTCTATTGTGGAACCCTGGCTGCTGCTAGGGGACTTGCTGCATCTTTGTGTCAGGTTCCATTCTGAACAGGTTGATTATGAAGAGAATGTTTAGCTGTTTGTGTAATGAAGGTGATTTTAGCATTGTCAGAAAGTAAAAATGGTCACTGCAGGAATTGGTGCTTACAAATCCATCATTTTAAATCTGTTGAAACATGCATGTAGAACCATCTGCTCTACTCTGGTATCTGCCTGTAAGAGTGTGGTGTCAGTCCAGAAGTGCTTCAGTGGTTCTGGCAGAACGTTGCTTGGCAGAGCAGTGTGTCCAGCCATGATGGCTTGATCTGTCACAGTGTAAGAGCCCTCTCAATGGAAGCAAGGTAAACTTACATTTTGAACTATAAGTTATAATGTGTTCCTCTCTTTTCTAGGGAGGAGATGGCGGTGGTGAAATATTCGGTGAGTAACTCCTTCAGGTTTGTAGTAAAAACATTTTCCACTTTCTCAAAATAGAAGAAGATGGGAGAAAAAAAAATTTCAAGAGAGCTTGGTTTGCCTCTTGAACCCATCAGATCAGTAAAATGACCTAAGTGCTTCATCAGAAATTGCTAGTGGTGATATGGAATGTAATAGCAGAATGCCTCTGTTAGTCATCAGGTTAAAAATGAGAGCAGTCCTGTTCGTTTATTTTGCCAGCAGCAGCAACTGGTATCAAGATCTAAATTTGTGAAGGCAAGGTGGATACCATTTTGCAAAGACTTATGTGATTGATAGACTATTCTACATTGTAGTAGCTTGTAATTAAACAGTATAGCCAACTCCAGAGATTTCAGGTTCAGCTTTTACCTCTGTCTTGTTGTCTTCCCACATAGCAAACACTCAATTCACAGAAATATTCAAGAACAGCTATTGCATCTGAAGGCATCCGCATTTATTAGATTTAAAGTTCCTGCTGCTTTTTAAATGCTGATTTTTTTTTTGTAAGGAAGTAAGTAATCATAATGCAGATTTAGTGTAAACAGAGGCACTTCACATAAGAGCGTGTATGTTTATCTTGAGGGCTTTTTATGTAGCTCTGAGGCTGGAAATCTCTCCTTAGCAAGATTTACCTTGAGAATAGCTGACTTCCTGATGTGAGGAATGTGTCTGTTTACCAAGTACTTCTAAGTGTTACCTCTAACACCTTAGAGTTGTGGAAGATCTCTAAAGATCTCCATATCCGGAACAGACTTCTGCTGGGAGGGTGAAAAGTTTTACAGAGTGCCTGTTAACTCCTCTGAGTGTTGTATTTCTGGCCAAAATGCTCTTTGGAGCATCTTGCTCCTCTAGCAGACTGTGAGACAGTGTGCTGCTTCTAGTAGAACTATGCAGGCTTGTTCAGTATTTCCTTCTCAAGACTGTCTGATCCTTAATTGGCATCCTAGTGTGTGCGCTTAGAGTTCATGCCTCAGACAGGGAAATGTGGTTTTGATATTTTTTTTGAGTCTGCAGGCTCTGCTCTTCTCCTGGTACTTGATAAGAGCAGCTCTCTGTGGTGTCGGGGGGAGTGGTGAGACGAGAGAGATGAGATTGGAGGCAGAACAAATAGGACTACGTGGGTTAGCAACAGCTGTCTGAAACAGAGTGAAAAAATGATATGCTGACTCTTAGAAGTTGCCATTCTCACAGGTCTAGTATTTGTGGGCCTTTGGTTTGTTTGCAGAAGGTGACGGGAAAATGTTCTTAGCAAGTACTGAGTAAGTGTATGCTGGAAAGGGGTTTTCCAAATAAGTAAAGTAACAAGTTAGTGTTCCTGACTGAAGTCTACTGCTGTTGCAGCTGTGGCAAAAATTAAATTTTTGGAGACAGTCCTGGCAAAATAAAAATGTCAGGCACATGTTTGGCTATTAAACTTCTGCTGATGGTTCTTCGAAAGGAGTAGAAAGCTAGTGCTCACTGGAAGTGATGTATGTGACAAGTACCTGAGAATCTTGATGTGCTGTTAAATTAATCTTGTCCTTGTGGGCTTTGGGTATTTTACCTTAATGTGGAGTACAGAGTCCTGTTGAGCTAGCCATGTCACTTCATCACTTCATACTCCTGCTGTGCGAGACAGCAGACATGAGCTGGTGAGTGTCCCACTTGTCGTGCATGTGATTTTTGCACTTGACGTTGTATGGCTTTCTCCTGGGTTTTAAAGGGAATGAATATGCTTCCAAATAAAAGCCATTTGCTTACAAATTCACAGCATACCTGTAGTTTTAATAAGCTCCCATCATTAAAAGATGTTTCCTCTTTCAGTTTTGGAAATGATTTTCTGTATGTAACTGATCATAAAAACTTAAGGTAGGTGTCAAGAGGGACATGTACTTCCTATTAGTCATGTCTGTCTAGGAGAAGAGAACTTGTGCCTTTTGCAGAAATGTTTTTGCTTCTTGTTTGAAAGTTGTAGTTCTTTTTGTACATCAAAGGTTCCAGTAGTTTGCAGTGTACCTGACAGCAAACTAACTCAGAGATTATGTCCTTTCTGATAATAAAAGAACTTCAGCATTTGACCTGATCTTGTTGGCTTTTACCACTTTAGCTATTAGGTTAGCAGACTATGCTGTATCTTGATCACGTGAGAAGTGCCAATGTCTGTATCGGATGGCTGAAGGAGTCTCTAATAAGCTGTAGAAACTTTCCAGAAGTCTCCTGTGATAGGAGGTTTTTTTAAATTCAGTTAGCACTGTGTACTTGATTAATGGGACTAACTAAAGAGAATTAGATAGCACTTAATTGAAGGTCACAAGTGACTGTCATTACATGAAGGTGAAGTCTGGTATTCAGTAGAAAGTTTATCATCATGAGTACTTCACAGTACTCCAGCAGTCTGCTGGAAGCACAGACTGCTGTGAATGAAGCACTGGGGGCTGTGTGAATGGTGGCCATTGGCTGCTGCTGTTCCCATCTTGCTGAGTAAGCAGGCAGCATACATGAGCTGCAGAGGCTTTGAGCTTAAAGCTTTGTATTTAACTGCTTTGTTCACATGTGCCTGTGGGTTAGTGAAGGCAGCAGAGAATCTTAGGTTGCATGAGCTGCCAGAGTTCTTAGAGGTTATTATAAGCATGGATATGCAGATGGTCACAAGTGCGTTTTTAGTGTTTCTGATAAAATCTTGCATCAAAGGTTTTTTAAAAAGCAATGCTAAGTTGCCACAGCATTGTGAAAAACATCTCCTGTGATAAGAAGCTAGATAAAAAACAGGAGGTGAAAGGCAGGATTTAGTAATTGCTGTTCGGGCAGTGGGAAATGGTGCTGGGATTAGTTTTATTGGGTGCCTTCATCCATGACCTGGAAGAGGTAATGAACAGTTAAGTCTTCAATTTTGCTGGTGATGGCTAAGTTTTCTCAAGTGGTCAAATGTGCTGATGGTGAGAAAATCTCACTGTGTTTAGGTCTTTGGCTCATAACTAGTTCTGTTAATCTGTAAAAATGTGAGATGCTAATGATCTCATGGTCCTCATTAACTGTCAATGAAATAGATACATAAATTATTTGGTAGAGTATCTAAAGTGCTTCCTGTGAATAATTCCTTCTGTGTCCTGTCTTCACTTGTGGTTGTTGAGAACTACTTAAAATAGATGAAACTGGCATGTGCTTTCTAGGGAATGTAAATTTGAGCCTGCCCATATATGGATTTGCATTCCCTAGTCTGTTCTATGTTAAATCTCAGAAGTGTCAGATATTCTCTCCTCTAACAAAATTAGGAACGTGGTGTGAATCTGAACTTGTAAGTACTGATGCTTCTGTGACTCCATTTCCAGCACTTGCTCAGATTTGAGTTAAAATTATTAGGGTGGTCACACACTATGTACAAGACTTGCTTGTAGCTGCTTGTCAGTTAAAAAATAAAAAAAGAAATTGAAAAGAATCACTGGGATCCCCTAATAGCAGCTAAGAGAATGCAACTCTTAAATGCCTGAAACTCAACTGAAGGCATCAGAGTTCTGAAAAATATTTCAGGCAGCTGGAAGTCTGTCTTGCCAACAGATGACAGCAGCTGTGTGTGACTGTAAGCCTGGAGAAAACTCACAGGAGCTGTCTTCTGCCTAAGCCAGAGAAACCCTCTGGCTTTTATCATCCACATCAAACACCTTAAAAAAGCTTCTTTTTTTCTAGAAAACACTGAGGCTGATGTAGAGGCTGCCCCAGGTCAGAGTGAAGAAAAATCCCTGCCTGCTGCACCTGTTCCTAGCCCAGTAGCACCAGCACCTGCACCATCCAGGAGAAATCCACCCGGTGGCAAGTCCAGCCTAGTCCTCGGTTAAACCTTTCCTTTCCTGACTTGAACTTGTGTCTGTTTCTTGCCCACTCCCCCACCCCCCATGCTTGTGAACTGCACAACTTGAGCCTGACTGTACATCTCAAATTTCTTTCAATTAAAAAGAAGCACTTTATGTACTCCATCTTTTTTTTTTTTTTTTTTTTTTTTTTTTAATTTTCAGATCAAGGTTGTTTTTCACTTTTGTCCTGTGTTTTTCCCCTAGATCTGCTGGAAGTTACATGAGTGTTTTCTAGTGATAGACTTGAGGGAAAGCTTTATTAAGTATAGTAATGTAATTCAAAGGAAAGTAGATAGGTTCTAAGTGTGCTTTAGAGGGTTTTTGTACTGAGATTTTTAGAACCCCTTAGCTGTACAAGGGTCTAGAGTCCTGGTTAAAGCGGCCAGCAAATGATCAACAAGAGCGGTCCCTTCTTCCACCTGTGAACTTCGGGGATCTAAAGGAATTCATTGTCTGCGTAGGGTGAATGCCTTGAGCCCTGCTGTGCCATTTAAAGTGGTTAGTGTACACCATGCTGCCTTTAAAAAAAAACATTGGTACTGGACTAGTGTAAAGCAGGGTTATGTGCCAAATGGAGGGCTGATGACCAGAGTCACCTGGCCTGAGGCTAGGAGGGGATTTGTTTGGACTTTATTCAGTAAAGGTGGAGTGGATTGTAGAAACAAATAAAAAATTACAGGGCTTTTTTTTTTTTTTTATATACAACTGACTCAATGCTGTGCATGATCATGCTGGTGCTTGACCATGAGGTGAAAATCTCATTCTTTAAAGTGTGTGTTGTAATTTCACGAAGCTGGACTGTTGCTTAAAGTAAATAATATAGAAATTTTGAAGCAATGTTTCTTGCGTGGATTTTATTTTGTGAGTTGGTTCTGCATAGTTCTCAGTTGTCTTGCCCTAATCTGAACGGGGCTGGGATGGAGCAGAAGAGGAGAGTGCATACACCTGATTGGGGGGTACCATCACATGCTGTCTCCACGTGAAAAGTGTCAAACATCAATTTTCTCTTCTCAGAAGTGTGTAATGCGGCTTGATACATGCAATCTGTTTTACCAGAATAGAGGAAATGAAAGTTTCTCCTCTCAAAACCAAATTGGATTCCATGGCAGAACTGCTAAGTCAGGGCCTGAACTGACAGAGGTGACTGAACGCCTGGTGTGAAGGCAGGGCCAGCCGGGAGCTCAGGTGCGTGCAGCACAGCTGCTGTGCATCTGCCAGCCTGCCTTCTCACTCCTGAAGAGCTCTGAAATTGCCCCAATTTCCTGGTGAGGTGTGGAGAAGCCCCTCCCTCAGTGCTGACTGTCAAACTGGATTTGCTCTAATGGCCTTTCTTCACACAGCAGGTAGGGAACGTGGTCTGGGTGCATGAAACTAGGTCTACCTGTTTCCTGGCCTAGGAGAGGGAAAGTAAGTAGTGAAGTTGTATTTCCTTTGCAAGCCCCATGAGCAGCAGATGTGGTTACATCTTCACTTACTGAGTTTGGGCACGCCAGGCTGTCTGCTAAAAAGGTGCCCAGTGTGCACGGAGGAGCTGCTTGCTCACGGCGGAGCCGTCACACCCCAGTTGGCTTTTGTGTTTTTAAGCTCAGTATGGCATAGTTCAAGCTGAGGTGAAGGGGGAGGAAGCAAAACTCTCAAACTCACAGGCACGCAGTGTTGTCTTTCAGGAAGCACTGTGGTAAAGGGCCAAACCATTTTATGTTTTTAGGCAGTTGGCCACCCTGGCTTTTAAGTTGCATGATTGGCTGATAATGAAAGGAGAGCAAGGTGGCTCCAACTTCCGGCCCACGTGCATTAGTAAGAGCAGGCAGAGGCTGGGCTGCAAGTGTTGTAGAGAAATATTTACGAGCTTACACAAAACTGTTTACACAACAGTTAAGTTAATGTTTTACTAAGAAAAGGCTTTTCTTGTGAACACAAATGCCATAAACCCTTTTTCTACCTGCACCTTTCTCACCCGTGGTAATGAGAGTAATACAGCTTAGAATTGCAAATTACCAGGACAGGGAAACACCTTTCTTCTGCAGGAAGAATGAAGTTTGGGTCATTTCAAAGTCATTTGAGTTGACAGTGGAAAGTTGTGGGAAAATGAGCCCGGAACTGGAAGTGATACAAGCTGAACAATGATCCAAGGAGAAAAAGTAACTGTTAGAAAGGGTTAGACTTGCAAGCTGTTGCTGAGCTGCACTCAGCAACCTGCTGTCCAACAGCCATGACCTTTTTTATTTAAAATATTTGCTTCCAGTTTCAGCTGCATTCTTGGCCTGCTACAGTGCTGTACTGTCCTCCTCAGTAGTAACTAAAATTCAGTGCTAGTCTGATTTCCTTCTTTATTTTTCTCATGACACTCTTCTGAGCATTAGTTGGAGACCTGAGAAAACAGGGAGGTGCCCGTTTCAACAGCTCCAAGCTGCTCTGACAGCTTCAGTCCTTAGGGAGAGGAATCCCTACTGCTGTGTGTTTGCTTAGGTTTTTGGCCTCTTCCACCTGCAGAGGTGTGCAGTAATCCTCCAGGAAGACCGTTGCCAGATTGCTTAGCCTTCTGCTGGCCGAGAGAGAGAAGCGAAGCATGCACTCCACCACTGGGAGAGGCGTGGTCTGCTGGCACGACTGTGGTGTTGTCAGATACATCAGGGTTGTGACTGCTGACATGACTGTCTCTTCATTGGAGCTGGAGAGGCAGTTTATTATGGGCTCCACTCCACTGGCCTCCAGGATATAGTCTTTGTTAGCTTTATCCAGGCACAGGTTGCAAAGACCACCTGAAATGCGAAAAAAGCATCTGATACATGCAAGACAAATTCTTTCTGCATGCTCATCCAGGCACACTCCACACTCTTAAAGGCACCTTATTTGGGAATAAATGGCAACAGTCTTACTGCTTTTCATAGCTTTGTATTTACCGATACCAATGCGGTTTGGTCCTAACCTGTGAGATGCTTGCCCTGAGTTGTCCTCAGGCAGCTGCTTGGTCTTTCCTTCTTTTTGTAAGATAACACACAAAAATATTTTTCCTGAGTGGTAAGAGGAAAATCAGTCTTCAAGATACCAAGAACTACGTGAGGGATTTTTAATTGTCCTACATAACCTTTTTTTTCCAACTCAGTGCAGTAACAGCAACTGTTTCCTTAAATGCAACTGCATAAATATCCCCTTTTTCTAAAGGTCCCATCGGTATTCGGCAATTCCTGTTTTCTAGCACAGACACAAGCTTCCAGGTTTTGTGAGAACTGGAAAACTTTAAATGCTCAAGAGCTGTGCTCCCGGTTCTTCCCCGCGATTTGCAGCAGAGCTCCTGCGCGTCCTTAGGGGGCACCGCGCGCCGCACAGCGAAACAGCCGCGGCGCAGCACCAAGGGGCTGAAGACCCCTTTTTTTACTTTTTTATTTTTCCCCGGTTTATTACAGATGTTTTAGAGAAAAAAACGTATGGCTGCACTAAGGATGCTGTCCTTACCCATAGCAAACTCCACGAGGGTCTCGTTGTCTTCCGCCAGCATGTCGAGGAACAGGTCCAGCACCTGGAGCTGCCGCAGATGCTCGTAGTTCCTGGGGTCGTAGGCGAAGTTGGCCAGGTTGGCCAGCACCTGCTGCTTGGCCTCTGCAAGGGAAAGCACGGCGTGAAACGAGGGCGGCGGCAGCCGCCATTGGTGCACAAAGGGATCTTTGCCGGACGGAGATTTCGCTGTTATACGTGGGGTTACCTGGGCTGTCTGTCACCTGGAACTCGGTGACGAGGGCCTGCAGATACTCCAGCCTCCCCAGCTCCATCCTGAGCTCCGAGAACTCGAATCTGGCGATCAGCCGCGATCAGCCCGCGCCGCCGGCGGGGCGCACACCGAGGCGGTCCGCCGACTCGCGGCCGCCATTTTGTGGGCGTTGCTCTCCAGCGGCCGTCGGCGCCATTTTGTGGGTGTTGCGGCTCCTCCTGGCGGCCGGGCTGCTGGCCGCTCCCGTGCGGGGTGGGGCGGCTGGCCGGGCCGCCGCGCGCGTTGCTGCTTCATGCCAGTGAACGCGCATCTCAGTTTCACTGTTTCTGGCAAACGAGTATTTTTAACATTTCCCCTTTGTTCTGCAAAGATGCTCGCCTTTCCTCACCACCTAGTTGCTTGCACCCCAGGCCTGGACACTGACACCTGCGTGTGCGCCTCCTGCCCGTGAACTCAAACGCAGGCGCACGAGCGCTGTGGAGAGCAGGGAGGGCCGTGCTGCTGGGCTTTGGTGCGGACTGGGACCCCGAGCTGGGGAAGAACAAAGCAAAGAGGTTTTTTCTATGGAGCGGATAGGCAACAACGAAGCCAAGAAAAGGAAAATATTAACAAAAGGCAGCAGATACTTCCAGCCTGTTTGCACGACGGCCTGACCTGAGGGCAAAGCGAGCCGTTGTTCTGCAGGGCAGCTCCCATGAAGCTGCTGAGCACCGCGAGCAGCGTCAGATGTGTTGGTGTGGAGGAAATACAGAAGTAGAGGTGCATAAGGGTCACACGTGGGTGGGCTTAGTAGGGATTGCCATTTCTTTTGTTGAAGCAATTAAATAGAATCATAGAACCGTAGAAGCACTGAGGTTTGAAAAGGCTTCCAGCCAGCTCTTCACCCTTAGCAAAGAGCGAACCCGTCCAATCGAATACAGGTTCTCCTATAGACGAGGGTGAAAACAGTGCACTGACGTTACGGTGTCCTGCACTGACTGAAGGGCCCCTGATTTTCATTCAAAGGACACTGGGCATGGTCTCATCCACCAAATGCAGGGCACCGGGGGCAGGAACGTGGGGCTGGTGGTAGCTCCTACCACACAGTAAGCTGTCTGCTCGTGTCCACCTTAAACGGGAGGATGAGGAAAGAAGTGGCACTGAATGCAGCAGCGCTCTCAGTGTTGCAGTACTGTGGGGAGACAGGGCAGGTTAAAGTCAAGGTATTTATTTCTACCTGGTATAAAAGTTCGGGCCAAGCCTGTGCTAACAACTTCAACTGTTAAAAAAATTATAGTGAATGTGTGTGTGTGTATATATATATATATATATATACATAAAAAGAAGTAACAAAGATTCTACAAATTACTTCAGTTTAAAACGTTGCCATATTAGCAGATTTAATGTAGGCCTTTGTAAATTTAAGTGTTAGTGTACTTTAAGCCACATCTGTCATTACTAATATGTACTAGGGTGTGTCTGTGAGACAGGTGGAGAAGAGAAAGCAAATGCAGACCAAGCAAAACAACAGAAGGTGTTTGAGGATAGTGGGATTGACTAATAAGGGGTGAAAAATATTGCATTTGAAGACGAAATATGCAATGATGAGTTCACAGGTACTGTATTTGTCCTTGTATTTGTCGTCAGTCAGTATGATTTTGCAAGCACAAAACCGGTAGGAACTTTGTCTCCTGCAGTGATTTCACTGTGAGCAGTGTTTAGAAACAGCCCGTGCCCATGGTAATTGGGTGATGCGTCCCTGAAAACTGTACTCTGCAGGTCATGTATTCAGCATGTGGCAAGAGGCAGCCCGGAGGAGAGGAGCACTGGGAACTGCTTGCTCTGTTCCTTCTAGATTTTATCTTGTTTTGAGTTTAATCCAAGCCGGTTAAGAGATGTGAGGAACATTTTGCATTTAATTTAAGCTATCTCATAGAGAAGAGTTTGGTAACATTCCCCAGGTTTATGGTCCGCAGAGATTTTCTGTAAGAGTTGGAGGCTGTACTAGTACTGCTTACGTGACCTGTGCATGCATCTGATTGTTGCTGTGTGCTGCATTACTGCAGGAAGTTTGTCCTGGTCGTACAGAAAGATCACTTGGCAGCAGGCAGCGTTGGCTGAGGCATGCAGCCCTCTTCTCAGGCTGTTTGCTCAGGTGATATGGGCCATATTTAATCATCTCACTGCTCTGTCCACGTTGCACATACAGGTTAAGCATAGCTGTGGTATTTACAGCTTTGGGGGTAGTCTAATGACAGTGGTGCCAACTGATAGCTCAAGAAAGCTAGAATTTGGTCATTATAGAATTTCAGGTTCTGGTAGGTATGTTTCTTTTCTTGCAGTTACTAACCAGGTCTGCAAACTATGCCAGACTCTTCATTTAAGTGATTTTGCAGTTCTGAGGTGTTTTAGAGTACGTAAGTTTACCATAACTTTTTTTTTTTTTTTTTTTAATTAAACTTTTCCAAGATTTACATTGGCAGACTATCTAAGTCTTATAAGGTTCACAGTCTTGCAATATTTCAAATGGACTTCCTGGTGAATGTTTCATAGCAGTAAGGAAAGGTGCTTGTTGCAAAATATGTTTCGCTTGCGAAGTTAACGATATGGTTAATGACAGAGGGAGCAGGAAAGAGTATGAGGGGACTGGGTGAGGGTTATTTATCTCCTGCCATTTTTTCTTGCTCTGCTGCCTCTCAGAGGTTTGTAACCTGGCTGAAGCATTAGTGTTTGTCCAGGGTTATTTAACTGTCTGTAGATGTTAAAAACAGCTCCTTCAAAGGGTGGTGCTGTGCAAGCTGTGCTTGCCTTGCATATTGGGACAACCATAAACTAATAGCAAGAGGTTTTATTGTTTTATTTTTCTTCTGGGCCTCAAGGTTCTTAAAGACTGAGTCTTGGTGTACTGAGGGGCAATATTTATTATCCTGTAGCATGCTCAGTATGCCCGGTGCCTTCAGTTATACATTACAGAGCTCCTGCCCAAGGCAGCTGGGAGTTCAGGCTGGGAAGAGAGGTAGGAGAGGAAGAGAGGCATCAAACAGGAAGGGAGGGAGCTAGTTTTCTCTATTACGGCAGTTCAGTCACATTATTTACCTGTGGAGACACAGCTTAAGTGTTATCTGTTCTCCATCTGAGATTTGTTTCTAACCTGTGCATTCTAAAGGTATGTGTAAACAACCAGGGGAGATAACCCTAAGAGACAGCTTAAGTTCTGTAAGGCTGTTAGGAAGTTCTTAGTAAACAAGATGAAAAAAGTGAAAAGGATGGATTTGTATACTGTTTGTCTTCCCAGAAACCTCAGCCTCTGCGTAAGACTCCAGTGACCCTAGCACTGAGTCTGAGAGTATCAAAGATCAGCTCTATAAAGCAATCTCATAACTCCCTGTCCTAAGTTATATTACACTGCTGTGTACAGCTAGGAAATAATTAAAACTGAGAATTCTTTGCCATAGTGCAGGAGGAGCTGACCTCTGTGTGTCAGCTCAGTTGGTGAGTACCTGTTATTCCTCCTGTGTCTTGCAAATAGATACTTGTTTGTTTGCTTATGGGCAAGCTATGGCTAAAGCATTGCAGACAGTGCTGCGGCTTGTGCTGGAGATTCCATTACTCCCTCAGTTAAACTTTGTTTGCTGGGCTAAATTCTGGTGGGCAGTCCCTGAGCATATCTTGCCTGTTTTGTCTGGGACATTTGTAGCAGTGGAAGGATCTGGGACAACGTAATGCCCCATTTCTGGAAGAAAATGGAAAGGGAATGAAAAGGAGTGAACAGAATTTCAAATTTAAGAATTACATAAAGGAAAAGTGTCAGTATGTTCAACTGCTTAGCTGTTTTATTTGTAATGATTAGAAGAGGTTTGAGATTCAATCTCTCTGCATTGGTTTGTTGTGATGAAAGGAGGAAGCCCCATCTTTTCTCTGGAATAATGGCAAATGAAAACTGTGGTTTTACTGCTAAGGATTTGATACAGTGGTTTTCAAGATTAAGTACTAAAGTTGCTTTAGAACCTGCTGTTTCGCTTGCAGAGTTGAAAGCTATTACTTCTTCCATTTCACTGACATATTACAGTTCCATCTTTTGGATGTTCTAGAATGTTGAGCAATCTTCAGCTGCAGTACTTTGTGAGATATCTGCTCAGAACACGTGGGATAGGAAATACAAACAGTTCGCAGCTCAACAGAGGGAGTTCAGAGGCTGATGCAACTCTCGTGTTATTGCTTACAAGTGTAACTCCTAGGAGTGTGTTGGGAAAAGCCTCTCATAGCCAAAAGACTGCATGGATGTGAGAGTTAACAACAACGTTTCCTACTGTATTTTTTCTCCTCAGATTTCTTTTTAAGTTATGGTTGAGCGAAATCGTCAATAATGGGATGACAGGAGTCTGAGACTAAAGAACTGAATTCATTTCCAGAAGGGAGAAATCCAATGGTGTTGAATTTGGCCGTATATACAGATGTTTATCTTCATTCTGTGTTGCTCTCCTGTATTGTTTTGCACCCCCCACCCCAAAAAAATAGAATTGATCCCAGTTAATGCTGGAAAGAGATGTATTTATAGAAGCCATTAATCTCTTTTTATGATACATCAGGAAGCACTTGAGATACTACTAATTATACAAAGCAGACACTGTAAGGTTTCAGTCCTTTTGTTTTTGTTGCTCTGGTGTGGAACTTTTGAAGCTTTGAAAATGTACTTGGCATGAAGAACTCATATATACCTCATAGGAAAAAATATTTGATCTTTGTAGAATCCTGCCTGAGTTGTGTGACTCATTTGGCAGCCTCCGTATTGTGTTTAGAGATGTGGGAAATAATAACACGCTTCCAGTCAAAACTGTTTGTCTTCTTTCCTCTTCCTCAACCTTGGCAAGCTACCAGGAAAGTTCATATAAGTCTGCACCAAAACTGCATGTTCATAGTAGGTGAGTAATACTTATGCAAGAAGTACCATTGTGCATAGCCATCAGTAATTATTTACCAGTGCTAACGAGAGAAATGTGCATATGAAATTCCAGTGACTTCAGAAAGGCACCAACTTAAATCAATTGAATCAACATTACTTTTATTTCTCAGAGTTGGTTGACATGGATGTTGTTGTCCCGTGGCCTGCTTTAGGACAGCACAGTTCTGTCTGTCCTTTGGCTGGCACTGCATGTTGGGCTCAGCCTGCGGTCTGCGTTGCTGAGTCTGACACAGCTCCTCCAAATGGATGTGCAGGAGGAAGGGTGATGGCTGTGGGATGCAAACACTTTTTTTTTCATCTGCCATCAGGGCTGGGTCTCGTGTGGCTTTGTACAGCAGCATAATTGTTATTTATTCTCATATGCTTGTGATGTGCACAACTGCTAGAGTGGGTTGACTTTCAGACTGTGATTCATTTGGTGTTTCGTTGTATATGGTGGACTTGTCTGGAGGTACTTTTGAGGTGTCTCTCAATTTGTTTTTTTTTTCCAGAGCACAGAAGCTGAGCACCATGAATAATGAAGCTGATATCAGGAAGAAACTTGAGGTGTAGAAGACATAGCGGAAATCACTGGTTATATCCACCAGGAGACCTGAAATGGAAACCACAGCTTAATTAAAAAGAGGATACATGGTAAAGGCAACTGTAAAGACATTTATAGAAATGTTAAATCTGACCAATTCAGCTCTGTACAAAAGATAAGCATTCATAAATGAGTTAAGATCTGTTCTCCAGATTCTAGAGCTTGTTTGTAGTCATTTTTCAGGCGGTGTTTCTGTTTCTGTGAAAAGTATTTTCCAATATACAGAGAAATCAGGACAGAAAGAAAATTGTAACTTTTTCCCCATGTACTGATTGATTTTTTTACTCATCAGAGGACCTCTGTGTCACTGCCACTTTCTGGGTTTTGGAATGAGTGACCTTAGTACAACCCAGGTCAGAAATCAGAACAAATAAGTAAGGAAATCTTTCCAAGACTGACATGTTTGAGTCTCTATACTGAAAACTTGTAATAGTGTGAGGAAAATTCACAGCACAGCAGGCATTATAACTTCTATAACTTTTTCCTCAATGCAAAACATTTAGAAGAATGACATGTCAAGTGGGTATTTTAACACTAACACTGGAGAAGGAAGGGCAAAAGGTATTCAGGTAAAATGTATGATGCCTCCTCAACAGGTTGCTTATTTATATATGGAAATATCGGAGTAATTCTCCAATGTATTTTTTATCTCCAACAAGAAATTGAGCTAATCTTATTGCACTTTATTTTCATAGAATCATAGAATGGTTTGGGTTGGAAGTAACCTTCAAGATCACCTAGTTCCCACTCCATGCTGTAGGCAGGGACACCTCCCTCTACCAGGTTGCTCACAGCCCTATCCAGCCTGGCCTTGAATGCTTCCAGGGAGGGGGCATTCACAGCTTCATTGGGGAACCTGTTCCAGTTCTCACCACCCTCACAGTAAAGAATTTCTTTCTGATATCTAGTCTAAATCTACCCTACTCCAGTTTAAAACCATTTTCTCTCATCCTGTCACTACATGCACTTATAAAAGGTCCCTCCCCAGCTTTCCTGTAGGCTCCTTCCGTATTGGAAGGCTTCTATAAGGTCTCCTTATCTTCTCCAGGCTGAAAAGCCCCAGTTCTCAATTTTGCCCATCTGCCACTCCTATCAGAGACATCCAAGACTTTTTCTGCACTTTGAGAAAAGCAACTAACATGTTTTGCCTGTGAATGACATGACATACAGTGCATGTAGTCCCATTCATAGAACAGATAGTTGCTTTCCCACTGGATGAGATATAATTCAGTGCCTGGAGAAGAGAGCTAAAACCAGTAGAGGATTCACACTCAGGTTTGCATTTTGTCTGTCAGTCTTTTGAATTTGTTGCTGTACTGCAGGAGCAGGTACTTCTTAGACAGGTTATTCAGTGGTTTTTGGAGTGAACTGTGAAATCTGTGAGTAATTTATTAGATTTGAGGGCATAACTAGTTTCCTTTCTTGCGTCTAGAGAAATATGAATGCACTCCAGAACCAAGAATAACAATGAGTAGAAGAGGCTTTTATTATAAGCCTCTTTAATTATGTAGAGCTGGTAATACCTCCGATGACAGTAGATGTATGGATATTTGCAATTTCTTGAGACTTCATAAATCAGTGCTAGGAAAGCAGTGAGAATTTTATGACAGCATGATCCTACTACTGTAATTCCTCTCTGTGCTCTGCCATTCAAAGGAAAGGAGTTCTCATCGCCGTCATGCCTATCGAAGCTGCCTGCCAAATGTGCCACTTTTTCACTGTCTGCTGTTGCTTCAGAGACACAGGCAGCTACAGAAATTATCCTTGTTCAGCTGTGAGAAGGGCATTCCTTTCTGACTCTCCCTTTTGTATTGCTCCCTCTGCATAATCAGCTGCCTGCATGGACTTGGAAACTCATTCATTCCTCTTCAATATGCTCCCAAACACTTGTCATCAGTGTCTAAAAACCTTGTTTTTCTCCAATCTGCTTTAATAGGTTTTCTCACCTGTCAGAGGGGGTCCGATGAGAAGAGTGATGCTCTCCAGGATGGTGAAGAGCCCTAGAGCGCTCGAGAACCTGTCCATCTCCACCACATCCATCAACACCTGGAATGTGAGGGCCCCAATGCCACTCATGGCTATACTGAGGATGACGCAGTAGAAGATAAGCATGCTAAATTCAGCTGAGATGATACAAATGAAATTGCTCAGCCCACACAGGAGCACGGCCAGGCTGTACAGGTAGATACGTCTCCCTGTGAAGATTGTTTGTCCTGAGAGCAGCCCTGTCAGAGGGCGTATGAAGATGTTGATGAATCCAATAATGGAGATGAGGAGGGCTGCCCTGCGTTCCTCCAACCCATTCTGAATGGCATAAGGTACGAGGTAGACATGGGGTAACGCAAACCCCATCATCATCCATGTCACTCCAATTGTGTAAATCTGGTACCTTTTGTTTTGACAGAAGATATCAAAAGCCAGGTAGTTCTGCAGCACCTGGAAACATGTGATCTTCCTGGTTTGTTCCTGGAGCTTTAGGTGAGAAGAAGATGCTCCATTGGACAGCTGAGCCTCTTCTGCTCTTCTCCCTGGCTCCTCTCCTGTACTGGAAAACTGCAGTAGTGATCCCAATGCAAACTTCACTGGTCTCATAACAGCTCCACAAACACAGCAGTTCAACAGTATTCCTCCAAAGATAAGAAAAGTATTTCTCCAGCCCATCTCATCTAGCAGGTATTGAGAAAGAAGTGGCCACAATGTCAAACCAATAGAGACACCAGTGGATGCCATGGCATTGGCCAGTGTTCGCCACCGCACAAAGTAGTAGCCCAGTGCAGTCACTCCTGCCTGGAAGCTGAAGCATGACCCCAGACCTAAAGATAAGAATGAAAGAGAAAACAACAGCACATGATCTCTCTGTAGTGTCTTACGAGGTGAAAAGAGCCCAGAACTCTGGTGTACCCACAGATGACTTCATCACAGCCCAGTGATTAATGATCAGTAATCCCAAATGAGGGGTGAAGAAGGATGCTGTGTATACTTTAGATTCCTTGTGTTCTCAGGAGTACTGAATACACTACTGATGTTTGAGCCACGCTGCCATCCCATGATTGTTCCGGAGTTGTTCTTGGGAAAAATTACCAGGACTTGGTTTTATACTGCATTCAGCAGGCAGAGTTACTTTCCTGACACTTTCACCAGGTTTCAGGGAGTTAATTATTGTTTATCTCTGTGCTGCACACAGACCTTAGCTTGCAAGAGTCAACAGATTTGGTCCCAAAGTGATCTGGCTTCACAAATCAATTTCTGTTTGTTAGAAAAATAGCATGGGTTGAAAAACAATTACATAGGAGAAATATTTGGAAAGGAAAAGTTCCCATCTTTTACTTCTGTTCAAAACCAACATGGTATTTGGTCAGAGAAAGATAACTCACATCTCCCTGGATTGGGAGTGGTGAAGTCCATGCCCAGGATATTTGTGAAGGATGTTATCCCAACATTGCACTTCAAGATGGGAAAAAGTCCCCTCTTCAAAGGCAAAAGGTTGTGAAGCTCCTAAGGAGAACAGATATTTTTGTTCTCGGAGTCACCCTTAGAGACCTGTAGCCTTTTCCAGGGAGAAGTACTTTGATATGAGCTTACTGGGTGAGATGTGTGTTAAAGGGATGTGAAGGGCAAGCCTGTCCAGCATGCAATTCCCAATGAACTGTGGGGCTTTGATTTATTCTATTTCACAGCTAAGTGAAAAACATGAGTGCTTAGTCCGGACTTCTACCACTTCCCAGCACAGCAGCTGGATTTTGCTGCTGTTCCTTGTACTTACCAGTGATGAGGCCAGCTGTTAGGTAAAGCTGGCTGAGGGACTTGCAGAAGGAGCTAGACACCATGCCCACACTGCTGAGCAGCCCTCCCATCATAACAGCAAACCTGCAGCCAAAGCACTTCACAAGGATGCTGCACAGAGGCCCTGGGAGCAGTCAGAGAAATAAAATAAAAAGGAAGCAGTTAGGGAGGAAAGAATTGTTTTGTGGGTGCTAGAATGCTGAGTAATCAAACAATTTAGGTTAAAGAGCCAGTGGATTGTCCCAGCAGCAAAATTTAAGGAAGGAAACAGAAGTAGAAAATGCACTCCCTGATCCTCTGAAGAGCTTGGTCAGCTTGTTAGCTGAAGGGAGTGCACCTGTGATCTGCTTGGGTTTTGGCCATGAAATAGGATTCCTAAGCTTCCCTGTGATTGATAGTAGATAAAAATCTTGGAAATGGAAGTGTAATTCTGTTCTCAAGTTGTATCAGTTCTATAAATAATTTGGAAAAGGATAGGACTTGAATTTCCATGCCCCTGAGTAAGAGATGCTGAACAAAATGTTATTTCTGCTTGCATATTTCCACTCCCCTTTCACTGTGTTTTTCAAATATTGAACCACAAAAGATTGTAAATTGACCTTAGTGTCTTGCTGCATAGGTGAAATTCTCTGCAAGAAGGCAGGTTGACTCTGGAACAGATCAAGAACAGGAGAAAAAGAGGGATTGTCCTTCAGAGGGATAATTTGAAAACGTCTATAAAGGTGTATGTATGTTTGCATTGGAATCAGTCTAAGCTTCAGGCTGTGGCATCAATGCTCCAGTTTATGGAGCTGTCCTGAAAGTTGTCTCTCCATGAAAACAGTACAACGTTGTTGTCAGCACAGCTCTTTCCAGATGTCTGCCTTAGCATACCTGGCCAGCGTGGGTAGGCATGAGGACCCAAGCCTCTTTGCAGGCTGTGCACATCCCTGCTCTTTCTCCAGCCCCACAAGACCTGGGCGTTCCTGGTGGAGCAAAAATGTGGGCCTTGTGCACATGTGTTGCTTGCAGGCTTTTCTAAGTAGGAGTTATGCTATTTCATCAGCAAACCAATGGACAAATAGACAGGGAGGTATGTGAGTAAGGTTAGTTGATTCTTTAATTTTCACAAGCTGTTCATTGGTGAGTTCTATGAGAGTGGGGTAAATTACAAGGTTGCTAGTGTCATAGATTTTGGGAGAGGATGATGTTAGTTCAGACCTGCAGGCTGCCAATGGGAAACATTTCTCTCTGCATGTTCTGGTAGAGGAGGCTTTGGTGGCAGCTTCATTTTCTGTTTCTGCCAGGGTCTGCATTGTTTTCAAGGCTTTATTACTAATTTTCTTTTCGTCCTCTGAACACTTAAAATTATGTAAGCAAATTTAAAAAGACTGCAAGCTTCAGAATTAGGAATCAGTCAGCGTGGGGAAAATAACCTGTGGAAAAGTTTTGGTTTGAAATAAAATCTGCATAATCAAGCAAGCAGTTGAACATTCTTAACATTAGGACTGTAACTGTGTGTATTTTGATCTGCTTGGGAGATTTTCACCTCAGACTTTGACTGGCCTTTGAAGAAGTATTCATCGGGTCAGCAAACTAATGACTGCATTATTTTCCAGCAGAACTGCTGCATTTGAACTAGCGTGAGTCTGGAGAGTTATATTTGCAATGCCCTTACAAATTCTGTCAGTGCATGTGATCACACATGAGGCTATTCTTTCCTTGTGTAATTAATCCCTTTTGGATCTATATTGGCTATCTTTATATTAACTTTCACTGTGGTCCCAGCCTCCCACAAAGCAATTATTCCATTATTGAAGATGGAATTGATATTTCCTTACAGATGCCACCAGACTTGTCTTTCCTAAGCATTTCCTAGGCATTCCCTAGGCTGGGACTGAGCTGCTTTTCAGACCATTCCCAGAGCCACTGGCTCCTGCTCTTTTCCCGGTTCCTACAGCAACCAGACCACAGGTCGTGCCCAGCAGCTTCTCAAGTCAAACAACCATGGCACCAATCTGTTTCTTGAACTTCAGTGTCAATTCTGCTGCTTCGCCTGAGGTCTTTCCTTCTGTGCCTTGCAAGTCTGGGCCCAGCTGCTCCTGCTAAGGTGCAAACTCTTTTTCCCCCATGTCCAGCTCTCAGCCAAGTATTGCACAGTGAAACTTAATCTGCTGCAGCCATCACATCAGTATGACTTAGGGCTCTGCTTTTTTTCCCTCATACCGCTGTGTCACCTTTCAGCAATATTGGAAGAGGGCAGGTATGAACTAAGGGAGCAGCTGTGGTATATGGGAGTCATTATACACTTTGCTAGATGGAGTTCAGATGGACCATTTAACCTGCAAGCATGGTAGGTGTATGAGGAGGGGCCAGCAGCAACACGAACCACTTACTGGGAAGCCCTTGAGCTGCTGGGTGTGTTTTACTCTCCTATGCAGAAATAGGAGCTCTAGATGCCCTGTCCTGTGCAATTCCCACATTTTCTTTGGGAAAGAAATAGTGCTTAGTGTTCCTGGGGTGATTCACTCCCTTGTCCGCAAAGCAGCACCCTCCATCCACCCCCTTCAGCTGCAGGGTGCTACCTGGCCCAAGTTCTGCATTAAACCAGTTGTGCGATACCTGCTGCTGCACGCTGTGCCCAAGGAGCTACTTTCAGCCCTGAGCCTCAGCTGGTAGCCTGGGGGAGCAGAGGTGGCACGTGGAAGGGCATGGAAGAAAGTACCAAAGATCCAGCCCTACCTGCCAGCTTATTTAAAAATAACTGTGAAAAATAATTAAGTTTTCATTGTTCTGGAGAAACTGGGCTGAGAAAGAGATTCACTTTCCTCGTTTTAGTTATCTGTTAGAGTGGCGGATGGGAACTTGGTATCTGCAGACGCTTGGTGCTGGGCTCTGTGGGCATGGAAGTAGCTGGGAGGTGCATTGCACTGCTGAGCAACCTGCCCAGACCTCCCTGTCCCTTCCTCCTCAGGGAAATGCTGAGTACCCTCGTAAGGCCCTGTGACCAAGCTGGAGCCACAGGAGGCAGCGGAGAGCATCCCTACAGCCTCTACTTACCGCCTGCGTGCAGCACAGCAACCATGATGGAGGGGAACCACGATGTCTCGCTGTTGGTGGCCTGGAACTCATGCTGGAGGTCAGTGAAGAAGACACCGATGCAGGAGGGGAAGCCCAGCGTCAGCCCCTGCAGCACCACTGCGGCCACCAGGACCATCCATGCCCATCCCTGGTCCTGGACTTTGGCAGTTCCTCGTGCTGCTGCTCCTCCTTGGGCCATGGCTTCTTTCTGCTCGCGGGCAGCCTGCTGGGGAAGGGAGTGCAGCTACCATGCAGCCCTCAGCCCAGGGAACGGACCTATGGAGACAAGGGCTGCGGGTATTCCCTGGGCTCAGAGGCACCAGCGTGTCCCAAGCCCTTGGCAGTGCACACTCTGGACTTCTTGCTCTGCATTTCTTCCAGGACCTCCCTTCTTTCTCTCTACAGGATCCTGGCAGATTGCTCGAGAAATGACTGCCTTCCCCTTTTATATTGCACAAGACAGTGAGCGCAGCCAGGTACAGAACAGGACCACACCTCCTTTGAGGTATGAACTGGCCTTACCCAGTTCCGCCCTTATTTTCCCTTTCACCTGCTTTCATCATACAGAGTCCCCTTGCTGGCAATTGCTAAGGTCACCAAGTCCTCACACTGAGAGGAGTGACCAAAAAACTCTGCGAATGCCAAGAAAAATAGAAACATATAAAGCTTGCATGTGGCAGCATTCAGTTGCACTGCACATACAGTTCAAATCACTATTGTTGAAAAAACATTTTAGAAGTCACTGATTAATTAGGATCCAGTGATCTCAGATATACTTCTGCTTTATCTCTATTTAGGTCTGAAGCTGAAAGGTCCCAGGTTTGCTTTCTATGAGATCAGCAGCATGAAACAACAAGAGCATTTCACGTGAATAAAGGCACAAAACAAATCTTTGGCAGCTGGACAAGCTCAAGAAAAGCGCCGTAAGGTTTGCACCCTACAGTATTTATTTAGCACTCGACTAATGTCCTTCCCCTACAACAATAGCTACAACTGAGTGTTGTGTGCAGCTTTAAGAATGAATAATAACTCATTCTTGCTCATTATTTCAAGCTTGCCATGGCAACACGCTCAGAATCAGTTCCATACCTGGGGCTGGACCAGGCCTGGCGACGTGAGGGGCTGAAGCGCAGGGCAGGTGGCTCATCGTGGCGTGCTGGGTGCTTCTGCTTCAGCAGTGCCCAAAAGCTCTGATGAAGTCTTTTGCAACGTTAACCTCAGCATCATTCTGTAAACAGGGCTGCTGTGCCGGCTGGCTTGCAGCCAGGGAAAAAAGGGCTGCAAGCAGAGGGGGCCCGTGGGAAGGGGCTCTCACATGCAAATCATGGTGGTGGTGCTCAGCACACTTTAATCCTTTGTCCACTTTAGCTGGGTGCGGATAATGCAACTAATTCAAGTGCTTGTCTCTCTGGTGTGAATTTGCTGGATGACAGCCTAAAACCTCTCCCCGGCAACAGCAAACCCAAAAAAAAGGCAGAAGCACAGCTCCTCTCTGTTCCCAGCCGCCCTGCCCAACATCTGAGTGTGTCCAGCAGCAGATTTCTGCAGCTCAGGCTCATTGGGGAGAGCAGAGCCGGGGGTCACACACTTGCCATGGCTTTTGCCTGCCGCTGGCTGCAGGGCAGCGTATCCCTGTGGCCTCCGAACCTTCGGCATCAGCCAGGCCTCAGGCTGTGAGCAGCTCTGGGATGTGCAGTCAGCTGCCAGGTTGTTCCTCACCGCCTTCTGCCTGCGCGGTGTGAAGGGAGCGGGTTTGTTCAGCACTCAGCTGGCCCTGCCCGCCAAATGGCTCCGCAAAAATGGCTTTTATTCCTTCCCGAGTGCAAATGTGGCAGGCTGCCGCATGCTCTGGTGAGCCATGTTGTCCTCAGCCTGTTCCTCAGTCATGTTGAGACCAGGACCAGCAGAAAGCAGAGGCAGATTCTCACAAGCTTGAATGCTTGTCTCATACTGATTGCATTGGGATTTGGACTGGGGCTCACAGCAAGACATGCATGAGTGCTTACTGCAAACTGTGTTGATCGGAGCCAAACTGGTCAGCAGTGCTGCCTGCCCCAGTTCATGACGTTGCTGGAGATGGTTGTGTGTGAAGCAGATTCCGTCTCTGCTTCAGCTACTCTCTTTGGTTTCTCTCTTTCAGCTCTGAACGTTGTTTTTACTGCAGTGACCATCAAGATGCTGAGTTCAAGCTTTTCTGGATTTCCTTTGGGCAGCGCAGCAGCCCTGGAGCTGTTCCTTATGGCAGCACATCAGGAATGCTTGAACAGTGCTTGTCTCCCATTCCCGTGCCCCAGTTTCCCTCAGTTGTGATGGGGGACCTGCAGATGCTGTGATGAGAGCACACAGCAGGGCTGCTGGTGGCTCTGTGTGCATTCACACCGGGCATTTACACAGCTCCCCTCCTCAGAATGTTCAGCCTGCAGATGAGAATAGTATCTATATGTCAGCCTCAGTGAGAGCTGGCAGCTGGTGGGCAGCCCTGTGGAGGGAAGAGCAGTCCAATTCTCGTCCAAAACTTCTCGTAGTGTCACAGCAGCAGGAGGAGAACCCAGGAGTGTGTACAGGGGGAGGCTCTGAGCCCAGAGGATACCTATGGTTGGGAACAGGGAGGGCAGCAGGAGGAAAGGTTGTCTAGTTCACAGTACACTAACTCTGCACCCTGCTGCATGGCATGCAGCATCCTCCTGCTGCCCCACCTCAGGCCGGTGTGAGCTGGGCATGTGTTTATGAATGTAAAATAGGCTGTGTGCACAGAGGCAAGATGTTTATTGTAAACGGAGCCAGGCAGTAAGGTTTTTTTGGGAGAGTCACTCTGTGTCTGTTGGGGGTAGGAAAGCCAAGCACTTCTCTTGGTAAACAGCTCTATAAGTGACTTTTTAAGTTCATTTTCATCCTGCATTTTGTGCCAGGTGACTTTCTCAAGGTCACAGTATTGCTCCCACCTTCTCCCCCTACAAAGGGTATCAGAGCTCTGCTGGCACCAATAAATCCTAATTAGGCTGAGCAGCCGCATCTGACTCGACTCCCCTCCCCCACATTCTCCCCACCTATTTTGATTCCCAGTTGCATTTAAGCCTGGCTCCTTGCCTAGCACAGCCTTTGGGCAGATGTCCCAGTACTGTCCCTATTCTCTTGGCTCGGTCTCAGCTCTGCTGACTGCCCTGAGTTCATCAATTACCAAGACACAGGTGGAGTGCCAGGTGGGATATCGGTTTTGGGGGACCAAAAATAACTCTCACCCAGTACTGAAGATGTTGGCTTGGAGGTAGGAAATGGGAATTGAAGCAACTGATGTCAGTAGTGCGAGTGCTGACAGCTTCCGTTGGCTTGGAAGAATTTGGCAAGACACAGCTTGCCCTGGTGGGTGACTGGATGTGGTTCTCCTGCATGCTGGCCCTTGCCCTCCTGACTGCTGCATTCCTCCTCATGCCTATGGCTGTCCTGTGTGTGTTGGGGGTGTTTGGTGTGACTTCAGAACCTGGCCTGAGAAAGATGTGCTTGGCTACCTTCATGCTGGAGGTGGCCCTCACTCTTAATAATGGGGAGTTAATGACTGACTGCTTGGATGAGGTGTAAATCCCACTGCTGTCACCTGTGTGGTAGGTGCAGACAGGGAAACAGACCTGTTCTGAAATGATGGTAAACAGGTGTTGCTCTCTTTTCGGGATGCCTCCTTGCCCTAGTACTTTGCAGCCCTCCCAGCACTGTCCCTACTTTCCTTTATGTTGGGTTATGCATAGCTCAGGTCCAGCAGCTTTCCTTCTTGGCCTCAGCTGCAGTGTAGGGATGATTTGAATCTTCATTGCTAGTTATTTTTATCTCTTTTCCTGTTAATAGTTTCTCATTATGACAGAGTATTTTGTTAAGATGGATAAGAGGTTGAGGGTGAATGGCCAAAATTTTGAGAGAGACAGAAGGCGTTCAGGCTCTAGCTAGCAAGGATGAAGCTTTGGCCACGCTGCTTTTGGCAGATCTTTGTTGTCGTCCCCCCTGCCGGGTCCTGCTCCTCCTGCCCACACCCAGAAGCACTGCAGTGTTTGCCATTGTGATTCCTGGGAAAGGGACTGGAACCTTTTACCCTGCTGGGAAATGCAGGTCACTCTGTGTTTCTAGGGTTGTGTTTTTGGACGTGGGGGCAGAAACTGCAGAATGTGATCTCCACCTTTGTTTTACGGGCAAAAGCCCTTGGTTTGGCAAATACAACCATACTGTTCTTACTTCCTATGTGTTCCCTTGTATTCAAATTTAAGAAAACTCATGGCAACATTAGGATGGGGGTGGCTGTTCATTAGGTATTTCCCAGCTCTTTATAGACCCATTTGACTGTTTTTCTCATTTAGAGCCTGGCTCTCTGGTCATGCACACAGTGGATTGGTGGTATCCTGCTGCCTGGAGGTGACTGGTAGGGGATTGCACTTTTCTTTGCTGTGATTTGGAGAAACCAACATGTTTCTCCAGCCCTGGAGGAATCAAGTATTGCCGGGGTCATTTGTTGAGATAAAAGTTGGGTTAAATCTTCAGTGACCATTTCAAAACCAGATCTAGGTGGAAGGATGTGACTAAGGTGCTTATTTCCCAAACAAGCCAGCAAGCTGGGTTACAAATATTTATGAGCCTTCAATCTGGAAATAGATGTGACTTTGCCCAGGGTGTAGGAGAGCATGAGCAATGGGCTGAGCCACACAGTTATGTGAAAACCAAGAGAATGTGTGGGCATTGAAATGCACTCCTGGCTGTGAGCAGAGCTCTGTCATCTCCTGAACTTGCAGAGAGAAATGCAGCTGTGGTTTCCACTCTCTTTTGCTGGAGCCCTTGGCCACAAATTTAGATGCTGACAGATGCCTCAACTAAGCTGCAGTCCTGTCTGGCATGGAGATACAGGGGTGGGCCATGAAGTCTTGTGAAGGTGTTGTCCTGAACCAACTGGAGTGGTTCAGCTGTGGTTGGCTCAGCTGTGATTTCTGATTTCTGCCATGCCCATGTGCTCCCCTTGCACGACACCATGTGGTGAGTGTCTCATCTTGCACAGCTGCGGGGCCAAGCCCTGGTTTGGGGATGTGCCAGCCCTCCCTGCTCAGCTGCTTTACAGCAGCCTCAGAGCAGCTGCATTGGGCAGCAGCAAATTCTGGTTCAGAGTAAGATTAACTTCATCCAAGTTTCCCCATTGTTTACTCATCTTTCCTCCTCCTCCTTTCCCCTCCCTGTGTCAGGCCTGAATCATTGCTGTTATCTAAATTCTGGCATCACCAAATCTTGACAACATGTTGTCTCTTTGCCTCCCTGCTGTTTACAACACCTCAATTTCACACATTTATGAGCTGCAGTGCTCCATAAACAGGAAAAGAACTAAAACTGAACTTATCTCCAGGTTTGCTAACACCACAAACATGGGGGATGCTGTGGCATCCAGGGTGGAGATAACAGATCAACTATTTTGAAAACTCCCCCGAGGTTTCAGAGCCAACTGCACGCCCGGAGCAATCTCAGCTGACAGTTGCCTGCTCAGAACACCTGGGAAGCTCTTTAGAAACGGCAGTTTATTTGTTCTGCATTTGTCTTAGTGACAATAAGAATCGCTGTGTCTTTTCCTTCAGTGGGAAAGTGGAGAATTGTTTGAGCTTCTCCATTTATTGGGGGGGGGCTTTGTAATCCAGGGAGGGGTGATGCTGTTGGAAATGCTGGATGTTTCTGCTGCACATGCTGAACCAAACAGGTGGTTAGCAATTGAAAATTGGCCCAAAGAACCTGTTCTTAAACTACTCTTATGTGGTGCTTGTATTAGCATTCTTATTGGTCAGTGGAAATGGTAAAAAAAAAAAAAAAAATAGACGTAGCTCAGATTCTTTTATGTAAGAAAATCAGATAAATGCTTAAATTTGCCTTCCTTCTCTGAAAATAACCAAGGACTCCAAAATCTAACTAGATTTTTCGGCTTCGTGAGCCATCACAAATGAATGAGAACCATATGCAGGTACTTAAAACATAGAATTTGTGTTGGAAAGGCTGCAAATGAATGCACAGAAAGCACAGGCTGCAGACACTCTTCATATGCTTCAAACCCATTTCAGAACCTTTATTGGAAAAACAAATTAATTGCAGCATTTCAACTGTTGTTCAAACACATTTAATAAACAAAGAGAACAGTAGCAAAGGGCACTGGCAGGTGACAAACTGTACAAAACCTCTGGATTTGCAGGCAAAGGAGGAGCCCACAGCCCAGCTGCAGGGCTGGGGGGCTGCTCCGTCCCACTGCCCCCTCTGCCTCAGCCCACTCAGTCACCCCTGAGAAAATCTATTTAAAAATATACAGAAACAAAGACACTGTAAGAGGTTATTTCCAGTCTTGCCATAATGGAACAACCTAGGCCACTGGAAAAACCTTTAAAAAAATAAAAATAAAAAAAAATCACACTTTCCATTCCCAGGATCAATGCTTTGAACTTCCCATGAGGTACAGACACTGCTGGATATCCAGTACCTCTCTCCCTATTCACAGCATACTACCTTACAGTCAATGGGGCAAATTTCATCTTCATTGTTAGTTTTGATATAGTTGTGAGTGAAAGGTAACAGAAGGAAAAGCCCTGTGCTGAGCAAATAGAGGTGCAGCTGGTGTATCATGCTGAGTGGCCCTTGGTCTGGGGGTACAGGTCATTAGCGCTATCAGGGAAGGAGAAATCCTCCACTGGGATTGTACCTTCATGGTCTTTGTGCCTTGTCCTAAGTATCGCCCAACAATAAGGGCTATTCAGGAACAGACTGTTTTTCTATGTCAGCTCTGAACTCAAGGCCTGAGCAACTGAAGCCAAGAAGATTCAAATGCACTGACAAGTCCTTGCTGCAGAGAGCAGTGTGGAGGGGAGATCCAAGGTGCAGCTTTGATAGTCTTTCACATGGATGAGTTAAACAGCTGCTCTGCTCAACTGACTGTGGTGGTGTTTTTTTTTTTTTTCTTTTTTTTTTTTTTCTCTCTCTGTGGCTCAGTAGGGAGTGATGCTATCACTTTTCCATGAGGCAATCTCTCATGGGCTTCACCATGTATGGCATTTTGGAACAAGGTATTGCTTTTACCTGCTTGAACTGTACTGGCCAGAATGACTCCTTTCAGGTGAGCTCATTAGTGTTGCTGTGAGTTTGAGGTGCTCAGCTGGTGCTGATGTGACAGATGCAGCTCACCCAGTCCTTGTAAACCTTCAGTTTGATATTTCCTTCCAGTTCCCAGAAACTCCCTCCTCCAAGGGAGAGAACACAAATGAATATGAGAATTAGAGGGCTTTTCAGGCTGTTAACTTGCATGATGATGATGATTCTTGATTTCTCAGCTGAGAGCACAATGACTGAGACTACAAGATACTGGCAGAGGAGAGATATCTATAATATCACAGTGTTATTTAGGCCCAGCCAAGCTGTATGGTCTAATCACACCAATACCATCTCACTACATAATAAACAGGAAAGATGGAGGGAAGAAGGAGAGCTGAGTTCTTCAGCAAATGGCAAGTCAGCTGTGTTTCATAGCCTATAACTGACAGAATGTGAATTCAAAGACACTTGGCATGGTCTGTTGTTACCAGGACTAAACTAGCATGGATAACTGTCAATTCTTGTGAATGAGGCAAAGCCTCCAGTGAAGGTGTGGAACGTTGGCAAAGGATGGAAAAGGACGGGCACGAGCATGTACCAAGAGGCCAAGTGTAGCTGTGTTGTTCTGTGCCTTTGCTGTATGCCTTGTTTACTGAACTGGTTGTCAGACCTTTGGTAACATTTTGCTATCCTTAGGCCCTGCCAGCAATAAGTGATAAGACAGGTGACCTTCCTATTTCCATCTCAACACTGTAAGGAAACCACAGGTAGCTGAATTTTTCCATAAAAGAACCAAACTCCTCAAACCAGGTGAGGAATTTCTGATACCTTATTGAGAATCATCTGCTCTGAGCTTGTCCATGTCTGCAAATTCCAACATCTCTGAAGCTTTGCATGTAGCATCAGTTTGGGATTTGACTCAGAAAAACTAAGTGCCAGGACATGTGGGCTACAAAGAACAAAGCAGGGATGAAAGGAGAAAAACATGCAGCAGCAAATTCCTAAGAAATTTCATTTACCAGACTAGGAGGGACATGCCCTTGGTTAGGGATGGCACAGCTGAACACAGAGGAAACACTGACTGCAATTTGGCTAAGATTAGAGTTCAAGAGAGGCACAAACGAACATTTTGCACATCCATCCAAGGCATTCAAAAAAAGTCACAGAAGTTGACACATTGGACAAAATATATTACAACAGTTTGGCAACTTTTCATACCCCCCTCTACAGCCCCCAGCTCTGTGATGCCCCTGTGTAATTTGAGGTGATCTCTTTAAAGGTTGGGGACACGAGGGAAGATGCAGTTAAATCACTGCATGTAAATAGTGAATCTCCTCTGTAAAGAGTCCTGTGGGTAAAATCAAACCTATCTGCTTGCTACAGTACAAAAGAAGTTCTGCCCACAGTTCTTCCTTAGTGAAAAGGCAGGTTACAGAGCCCATGCTGCTGGATACAAGGCAAAGCTGAACTTGGCAGGAACCTTGTGACTTTGCACCAGGCTAAGATATATGGTCATGGCAAGGTATTGAAGGGGAAGATGTCACCACTCTTCTTCAACAGAGAAGTGTACAGGACAGAACCATTACTCTGTCACTGCTCTGGGTGAACACAAGTCTGTTTTTATGCATGAGAAGTAATAGGCTTTGGAAAACACCAGGAGCCCATATATAATAGTGTTAACAGCAGGACCTGTGTTAGATGTATGTGTAACTTCCCTCCCCCTATTATCTAAGCTCAGCTCTTAGGAACTGTACAAGGAACAAATATAAGCAAGAATGAAAAAATTTGTTTTTTACAAGTAGCTTATTTGTTCCTTCTTTTAAAGCCCTGTTCTGATCTGTGGGGGACTGGCTGATCAGGAGGGAGCACTGCAAGATCTCTGCACTATTCTGATGGTTGTAGACCTGTTGTAGGCGCAAGAAGCGGCACAGGTCAAACAGATCTTCCCACTCATGTCAGCCTGTGTAAGGTAGGACTGACCACAAGGCTGCGTGGACCTAAGCAACCTTTGCAAAGAATCCAACTGGGAATCCAGCGCAGCTGTTGTTGGAAAAATTCAGTACAGCACTGGCCAAAAAAATAAAACAAATACTTGTGGAATGGACTGGAATCTGCCTGGAAGAGTTTTCTCCTTTCTTGTTCTCCAGAATAGGAGGAAAGCCTTTGGTTAGGACTAGAATTACTCATAGCTGGCAGGACAGGCTTGGCTTTGCTTTGCATTAGCTTGGTTGCTGTACAGGGGCAAGTTTGCATTGTGGAGAGATGATCTGTCCAACTAGATTGCCCTTTTGACATCTGGGAGTTCTAGAGGAGTGGACACTTGAATTACATCCGAGATCCTCGCTCTTGAAGAATCTGAAAAAGAAGAGAGCCTCTATAAATAACTCAGGCAAGTTTAGAAGCCAAAGTTCATGATCCAAGTCTTTGGCTTTTGTAGAGGAAAGAAAGGTAGTCTAACAAGAGAAGGAATGAGAGAGTAGCCTGCTGGCTTCTATGCTACCATACCGAATTACAAACTGGTTAAAACAGTGTCTTCTCTAGAAATGCTTTAGCTGCCTGCCAGGAGTTAAAATGTCATTTTTTGTTGCTATCCTGGGGAAAATGCATGGACTGAAGGAGAAAAAACGTCAGTCCTTTTTCCCACAGTATCCTTCAGTCACAAAATCATCTTTTTTTCCAAGTCTTTCCTCTTTTTTTTTTTTTTTCCCCTCCTTGATGTGAATACATGGTAAACCAGGAAATCTTTTAAGAGAGGAAAGGTCATGCACACAGGAGAAAATACAAAAGCTAGTATACAGAACTGCTACTGCAAATTGTGGATCTCCTAATTTAAGATGTGTTTTTTTTCTTTGCATAGGGAAATTCAAGACAACACATTTGAGGAGATGCCTTACCTTTGCCTTCTCGCTGGGCTCTTTGACAATGCCATTGGTAGAATTGTTGAGTTCCCTAGACACAACACAGAGGAATTCTGCCTGGTCTTCATTTCCATAGTTATATGAAGATCCAATGCTGATTAGCTGTGTGACAGAAGACAGCCAAGGTAAGGATGACTCTATTGGTAAATCTTGACTTCTGCTATATTCCTGCAATTGTCTTTTGTATTACGACTATTCAAAGAGACCTGTTGGCACTTCAGGTCAGAACAGGTCTCTCTCAATGCCAACAGGTCACGTCCCTTCCCATATTCCAGTGTCACAGTCTTTCCCAAAATGTGTTTGTAAGGCAAGTATTTAGACAAGCACCAAACACATTTATACATTTTTACTGGTACCTGTTCAAATTTCCACCCATCAGACATGGTGGACACCATCTGTGTGAGCTCTTCCTCTTGGCACTGAAGGACTCTGTATACATGTTTCACAGGTCCCTAAAGAATGGAGAATAAAGATGAGCAGGAGTTTAGCAATTGTTGTACTGGTATCAAGCTAGAAAACTAATTAGCCTTTTCCTGCTCTGTCTGCTTGCTATTTGAGGAAGTTTCAACCACATGGGCTTTCTGAGGTCTCATTCTCGTGACTATCTAGTTGATTCTAAAACTGCTACGAGTTGTTAGCATGCTTTTTAAAAGCCTTCGGGGTGCTTATGTGCCAGTGAAAGCAACACTTTGTTGTCTTTTAAGGCCATTTACTGTTTTTTTTTTTTTTTTTAAATCGAATGTACTGGAATGTGGATATCAGTTCAGCAGCAGAGACTAATATAAAGGGCAAAACATGGTTCAGAGAAGGAAGAATTGAACTATTCCTTACCTCCCAAAACAGTGTTTTGTTTCCCTATCTTTGTTCACTTCTAATTGTTCATTGTCTTTCCCTACAGTATTAATAAGATGATTTAGTAGCCTGTACTTGTGAAACCACAATGGATCATCTTTCCTAGCTGTGCCTTAGTTTTAACTAAAAACTGTTAGTCACCGTTAGAAACAAACCGAAGAACTTCTACTGGAAACACCTATAGCCACGTCCTCCTACTGTGCTAGAGAAAATGACTGACTTCAGTATGTAAATATGCATGTGCATTACTTGAGAGGTTCTGTTCTCATTATCCCGTATCCGCTCCTTCACCAGCCGCACAAGTGATGCAATGTTGTAAAACTCAGCTTCTTCCAGTACCCCTAAGGAAGGAATCAAAAACAGACAATCTGTTACTTTATAAAGAACAAAGACAATTCAGCTACAAGAGTGCAAAACCTGCTACTGACTCCAAATCTTTTCCACATGTAAGAAAATCCCTGGATGATAAACAGACTGCGCCTCTGACCTCATGTTCCCAGGCTGGAAGAAAACAAGCTGCGTCCCTTTGTGGTTAACAGAACATTTAAGAAAGATTATTCCCTTTTCCCTAGGATTAAGAAACCCCATGGGTACAATCCCTGATATCATTCACACAGCCTTGCTCGGGGTGAGGTCACTAAAGCTCCTTGCTTGTTCAGAACTGCTGTCTGTTCAGGTAGAAGAGATGCTGTTCTAAAAGTGCTATAAAACAGTGCTTGCAGTTCTTCTATATGTTTCTCTTACCTTCTTCTGCGAGTTCTTTATTTATGATAAGCTTCCCATGTCGGAGGTAGTTCAGTATTGGACCAAAATATGTGGGATCTCTATCGATGAGATATGCTCCTGTCTCATCCTGTTGAGTGTGTACAGAAATGAAGCAGGCACAGTTAAATTGTATGGGGGAAAAATATTTCATTTTTAAATTATAACTGTACAGCTTTTCTTTGAGAATCTGGATTCCTCTGCCTTTGTGAAAAGTGTATCTGTGACTTTATGTTTCAGCCAGCATTTTTTTCAGTATCTGAATTCAGCTGTAAATGCTGCAACTCAGTAATGCTGGCAGATGTCTCCCAGTCAGTACTTCCACAAACCAAGCTCGCATAAGTGAAGAGAAAAGCAGGGCTTAACAGTTTTGTTTCACTGCAATAACAAAATCAAAAGCTGTCAGTCATGTTCTACCTAAATTGGTTTTCCATGCTAGTTTAAATAAGAAACTTGAAAGGAAAGTTGGATTTTCAGTTCTGATTAACAGCATGTGATATTTTGAAGTACTTCTTTTTTTTTCTCCCTTTTCTTTGAACTACTGGAAAATGCCCATTGCAGTGCGCCAGTCCTGTCTCTGAACAGTCTCCAGCAGCTGGGCATACAATGTCATCACATTACCAGCAATCCACAACTAAAAGCATTTCCTGAAGCAGCATGGATGGGCTGATAAAGCCTGTGTGGCTGTTTTTCATGCCATTCCTTTACATTGCTTCAAAGCAGTGCAGGTCCTGCTAGGCAGTCTGCTCCAAAGCAATGAAATGCTGAGGTCATCCAAAATGTCATCTCCTATCTTTGCTGAGACTGGTAACCATTACTGTGGTCATAACTTGGATTTAAATTCTAATTAAGCAGATATAAAATGTTGTATAGACAGTATAGAAACCCTGCAGTAATAATAACTGTTTGTAAAACCTGTATGTTAACAACCTGCAGCGACTGCAGAGCTATATGTCCAGTAAAGCTCTTGAACTGGGATCTTTTCTAAGAGCAGAAGTAAATACAATGGAAAAACCACACATATCCTGGCGGCGGCGCATCATTTAAATCTGTTTCTGGGGAAGTTTCTCTCCCTGCTGCGTGCAGTAGCAGCAGAAGGGCGCTGGGGCGCTCCGGGGAACGAGGAGGCGGCGGGGGCTGCAGCAACGGACGCACGGCTCGGGTGGTGCCAGGATTCCCGCAGACCCCGGCCGGGCCCGGTGGGAGCGGGAGGTCTGGGCCGCAGCCTCACCTTGTCGGAGCCGAGCTCGGGCCCGTCCTGGCAGCAGAGGCGGCACAAGAAGGACTTGGGCTCCCGGCACAGCGTCTGTCGGGTGCTCACGAAGTACGTTCCGCCCACGTTCAGCCGCACCCATTTGGAGGCGGAGGGCGGCCGGGCCGCACCGGCGGGACTCGGGCTCAGCGTAGTGCCAGAGAACCCCGGCGCGGCCGAGCGAGGGCTAGGCGGTCCCGGCACTCCCCCGGGGCCCGGGCTGGGTGTGCGGCCCCGCGGCGGCCCTTCCGCCGCTGCCAGCTCCGCCATGGCGGCCGCCCTCAGCGCCCCCACGCCGCCATCCCCGCCGCCGCCGCTTCCGGCGCACGAAGCACTTCCGTGTGCGGAGCTGCATGACGCATTTCCGCTAGCGCCGCGCTCTGATTGGCCGAGGGGACAGGACTTCCGGTGCGTCGTTCGGCAGCGCCAGAGGACGGCGGTAGCGGTCGGTGAAGGTGAGCGGGGAGCGGCGGGGACCGAGCGGAACGGGGAGGGGGGGGAGAGGAGAAGAAGGGGAAGGAGGGAGGCAGGCTGGCTGGCTGGCTGGCTGGCTGGCTTGCTTGCTTCCACCCACCCACCCACCGACCGCCCGACCGCCCGACCGCCCGTTGGCAGGCGACGTGGGGGAGTCCGGAAGGAGTCCCGGGCTCCGTGGGCTCCGGGAGGCGCCGGGCCGGGCTCTGCCCGCCGTGACCCGCTCTCCTCTCGCGGCAGCTCAGCGTCATGGCGGCCCGCAGAACCGCCGTCAAGGCCATCGACTGGGCGGCCTTCGCGGAGAGGGTGCCCTCCAACCAGCGCGCCATGTTCAACGCCCTGAAGACCCGCAGCGATGCGCTGTCCGCCCGGTGAGTGCCGCCTGCAGCCTCGCGGAGCCGCGCTCCTGGCCGCTGTCTCGTGTAGTAGTTTCCCACAGTGATCCGACAGACGGCACGGCTGTCGCCTTCAGGGCGGGCGGTAGCGGTTTCTTTTAGAGAATCTTCTTTACTTAATCCTCCACAGAGTCAAACTGCGGCAGCGATGTGAAAAAAGCTAGTTCTGTGAAAGCACTTTGCTTTGGTGGGTTTAAGAAAAATAAAACGCTTTGAAAAGCTCGTCGCTCAGTTAAATGCTACACAAAGCAATGGTTCTCCTGTTTGTTGCATGCTTGCTATTACAGTTGGCATTGCCTCTTGCCTCTAACGTGTGAAAGCTGCCTGTAGTGTTTCTTATAAAGCTGTCTCTTAGAGATGCTGTGCAGTAGCATGAAGTGGAGGGGGGCTGCAGGTTGAATTTATCTGTCCATAGGGAAAAATCTGTTTCAGGGGTGGAGGGAGTTTACAGAATTGGTTCATCACTACTTGTTAATAAGGGGCCTTTACTGTTCAACTCAGCAGGTTCAACTCTCTTGAAAGTAACAGGGAGCAAGTGATGGCATCAGGTTTGTACTGGCACTGGTGGTGACTGCTGTCCATCCTCTCCTTAGGTTGGCTGCACTGCCTGAGAAACCCCCTGCCATTGATTGGGCTCACTACAAGACTGCTGTTGCTAAAGCTGGCATGGTGGATGAGTTCCAGAAGAAGGTCAGTGTCTTTGTCAGCTGAACATTGTTATTTTTTGGAAGCTTAAACAGGGAATATCTATTAGTGGAAAACACCAGAATGAAGGTGTTTTCAGTTTTGGCTAGTAGCTTCCTTTGCTTTCCTTGGCAGATCAGTCATTTACCTATAAGAAAGAAAACTCAGTAAGTTTTTTTGTCTGTAGGAGCGAATTTGGGTAGTGCCTCTCCTGAAACAAATATTTGGTGTATTTCTTTACTTACTGAGTAGTAGAAAATGATAGGTGCAGGTCTGCAGACTAAGAAATGTGCAAAAACTAACTGATGCCTATGGGGTTGTCATTCCATTTAGAAATGAACTGAAAAGAATGAGCCAAGCATTTGCTGAAGGTCACACGATGTCACTGGCAGCATGGAAATTGGCTGCTATAAGACCAAAAGAGCCCACAGATTTTGGATAGATGTGGAAACTCTGAGGAAAATCTGTCCACGATAGGATATGTCTTTGGTGTTAGACTTCCTCATGGTGCTGTGCTTTGCTGTGTGCAATGCTGTGATGAGTATGCATAGTATAATATGTCCTGGTGATGATATGCAATATGTAATAGATCACTTTAAGCATACAGATGAGTGGTTCTGCTTGAGAAATGTGCATTCAAGATGCAGAGATCATTTTTTAAAAGCTCATGCATTTGTGAGCATGTCGTGTCCTAGGAAGAGTGGAAGGAACACTCCCCTGCTGCTAGGGAGAATGACCTTTCACCTGAAGGGTTATGTGAATCGAACTGTTCTAAATTTTTCTTTGTTTTCCAGTTCAGTGCACTGAAGGTCCCTGAACCAGTGGATACACAAACTGCCAAAATTGATGCCCAAGAGCAGGAAGCTGTAAGTGTTTGAAATGTTCCTGAATGCCAGGCTTGCCTCTGAGTCCTAGTGAAGGGGTGAGAGGGAAGATGTATTCTGTATTTGCATCTGCGCAGGCAGAGCAGCCTGAGAGTGTGGCTCTCTGGTCTTTGCACATCTCTGGCTTTTGGCTAAGCAAAAGATTTTCTGCTTTGGGAAGAGTTTGGATTTTGTTCAAGATTTTGTCCGCTTGTGTAATGATGGAAAATTGTAATGTAAACTTGGAAGGTGGTTGTTGCAGGTTCACTCTAGATTGACATCTTTATTGTAACTATGATCACCATGTCCTCTTCTTTCCTACAGGCCAAGAACATTGTTGAGTATGTGAAAGCTTCCAAAGCTCGTATTGCTGAGTATGAGCAGCAAGTAAGTATGGATGTTGCTTTGTGAATATTCTCTTTAACCCTGCTTGGCACACACTTGTTCTTTCCTGTGCATGCTTTGCTCTTTCTTGCTGATGAGTGACTTGTAACATATTTGTCTCTGCTCCCACTTCAAGCTTCAGAAACTCAGAAGCATGATTCCATTTGAACAGATGACTTATGAAGACCTGCATGAAGCTTTTCCTGAAACCAGACTGGACAGGCAGAAGTATCCATTCTGGCCGCACAAACCCATTGCTGATCTGTAAACTGGCTTGGAAACAGTTTATCTGATGTCTGTCAGAATGAATTATCTCTTAAATAAAAGTGTTTTCCCTCCTGTCTGTGGCTTAGATCTTAGATGTGAGGTTGCAGGGTTTTGAGAAATATGGAACCACGCAGCAGTGCACAAAGAGGGTGGTTTTCATGGATTTTGTCTCTTACTGGTGAACTTGATTTTATGGAAGTACTAAGATCTCAGCTAGATCTGATACTAACATTGAGTCCTAACACATCTTCTGTAATGCAAACAAGGCTCCCGTTTACCTTTGTAACCATGTACTGCAGGGAATGTGGTTCTGCCTTTGCAGATCAATTATTGTTTAGGGGACAGACTTACACTCCAGCGCCACAGAATAAGTTATATTTAGTAGTGATCTGCAGAATGAGGTCTGTCTCAGTGGCTTTAGGGGCAGTGTGCTGGGGCTGCTTTCCAGGTTGGTTGTGTTGGTTTAGGTGCAGCCAATTGCAATAGGAGTTTAACGAATTAGGTGAGATACAGAAGTTCAGAAGTAGGATATTTTAAACATCCCAAGCATTGCTCCCCTATAATCCTAGTGATCCTACCAGTCTGGATTTCTGTATGTTGCAGATCTCACTGAAAATCACAGAAACAATAGAACAAAGGCTTCATACTTTGATTGATTTATTTAATTATCTGAGTAGGAATTCTTAAATGTCTTTCCTCAAAATAAAAACATCTCCATAAATGAAAAAGAGCTCTAGGTCCCTTTTTCTGACATAGTTGTAATAATTACTATTGGATAGAATTAAGATATTCTCTTCGAGTTCCATTATAGCTTTATCTAATTACTTTGGTAGCCCACGGAGCACTTTCAGAATATATGTATGTTTACAGAACTAGAGTACATACCAGTGCACGTACCATGCAGACTTTATGCTCTGGTTGTGTTTGTTTGTTTTGTTTTTTTTCTAATTTAGGAGCTGAAGCAACTGATTCAAATTGAGCAGTAAAAGAAAATACAGCAGAAGGCTCTGAAGAAATAAAATGGATTAAGACTGAGTGAGCATCGCACAGAGCTGGTCCCTAACTGCTCCATTTTATAGAAATAACAGCAAAAAAAAAGAGTGACAAGAAGAAATGGCTGTAAAGAAGCACCTTCTCCAGAACTATCAGAACCGGGTCCTGTTCTGGTGTTTTCCAGTAGGGTTTGGTTTGCTGCACTTTTTCCTGGGTCTTCTTGGTAGGTTGTTTCATGGCCTGGCTTGTTGTCATTGGTGGCTCGGTGTGCATATCTGCAAAAAGCAAACACTGAGATGGGGCAAGGTGGTGGGTGGCTGCCAGGAGCACTGACTGGAGCACTTCTTGCCCAGAGGAAACCCACCTTGACTTGAACCTGCAGTAAGGTGCAGGCAACCCAGCTTGCTTGTTTCAGAATTTTGGTTGCTTTACCTTGTTGGACTGTTCTGAAAGCTTTGCCTAAGCGTAGGGATTTGTGCTGATGGTGCAACAGGAAGAAAGTGTCCAGCACAGCCATGATCATCAGCAGGAAGGTGCCTAAGAAAAAGAGCACTGCAAAACAACAGGAAAGCAAATAAGGCATTTGATAACAGGCATGATTTTCTTGAATTTGTAATCTCCCTGAGAAAGGAGAAAATTGCTGTCTGCGGCCAGCTGGTAAAGTTTAACTTTTCATGATGTCATTGCTCACGAATTGCCCACGAATGCCCAGCAATTTTCTTAGAGTTGTTACCTGAGTAAAATGCAGTATTCCATCAATAAAGATGAGTACCTATTATAGGTGGTTCGTTGGAGGAAGTTGGAAGCATATTGTTGAGAATCACAGCTAACATGGAGCTGCCAAGAATGATGGAAATCTGGAAACTGATTTTCTCCTCAAGAGAGCTGGGTCCAAACAGCACAGCCATGTCAAGCAGATACAGGGCGCATGTTGGGAGGATGAGGTTCAGAATATACAGAGTGGGTCGTCTCTTCATGGAAATCTGTTGAAGAAGATGGACAAAATTTGAGTAAGAGATAACACACTGTTGATGGATGCTTACTCCCTAATGTGGACAGCTATCTTGTTTCATACTTTTTTTTAATATTAAACAAAATGAATTTACAGCAGTACCATATAGGTGATCACAGGAAATTCTCCATCGTCTATTTCTTCCATGTACTCATTGATGCTCAGGTTGGTGAACTTCCATTCTCCATCAGTTAGGAAGAAGCTCTGACTGCTTACCAGCATCTCAGCTGGTGTCCGTTTCACTTTCATGGAAAGGTCTGTTACTGTTTGTGAGAGGAGAGAAGTGGCAGAAGTGAGGTTTCTATCAGAGGCCAGTTTTTCCTCTTCATTTCCCTCCCAGACAAGGTTGCATACACATGAGGAAAGCAAAAATCAGATGTGAGCAAATATCAGGCTTGTCACAGCAAGGCTGTCATTTGGCTTGTAAAGACCAATTCCAGGGGATGACTACCCAAACATCTCAGATGCTTGGAGACGTGTTGCTGGGAGAGATGCCAACACGTCACAACTCTGAGCTTATTTTCTCTCTAATTAAACAGCACTCCCCTAACAGCGAGCGGTGCTGATAAGGGAACCCAGGATCCATCTCAGCTATTCCTTTTGCATTTAGCCTATTTGTGGTAAAACTTAACTTGCCACTTACCTGGGTAGAGAAATGAAGCAATGCTCATGTTGCATGTCTGGGTGTCAAAGGGGAACTTGAGGATCATCAAACTGCACGTTAGAGTGACCTGGAAGGGAAGGCTGGCGTTGAAGGTGCCGTTGTGTGTGACAACAATGTACTCCAAGTTGGACTTCTGTTCGTTCACTCTGGAGGAAACAAAACCGAAGAGTGACAGAGCTGCAGGGTGCGGCAATGATCCTCAGTCACACAGAAGCTGGGGCTGTAAGTGGCCCTTTTGGATGGGTCTGTGCAGCCACACAGACATGGAATGCAGTGGAAAGGATGTGTGGGCTTTCTGGGGAAGGGGCTCAGTGCTGTCTCTCTGCATGCTGACTCCCATCCTTTCCCCCTGCATCCAAAGAGCTGGCGGCCATGCCCAACACTGCCAAGGGTACTTTCATCCCACCACATTGCTTGTCCCCCCGGTTGCTTCTTCAGGATTAACAGAGCCTATATGTTGCAATTCAGCAGATGCTACAAAATTACTCACCCACAAAGTGCTTTATATAAGCTATCTTTCCCATTAATATAAGACATGAGATTCTTGGTTATGGTTAGTTTATAGGAACAGCTAGTAACTGTGAGTTTATCCCATTTCCTGCAATATTACCAAATGGTTTGCATCCACAGTATTTTTCTTAAGCTGGTGGATAAAAATAAAAAGAGAGCCTACCTTTCCAAAATGAAGATTGGGGGTGACCAAAATGAATCCATGGGGAGAACAATTTTAGAAATGTTACAGAAATCCCGTGGGTCCCAGGTGGCAAAAGTATTTGTCCACTCCTGGGTAAGGAGGAAAAGGGGAGAGGTGAGTGCTGGGCTCAGCCCCAGCCATGGTGCTGGGTGGCACAGGAGAGAAATGGTCTTACGGAACCTACCAAGCTCAACACGAAATAAAAAGTGACGGTCTGGAGCTTTTCAGCCTAGGGAAACAAAATGGAAGGTATTTAATTGATTTTCTTAGCTATACCCCGTGCAGAGCTCTGGAGCTCTCCACCACTGCTTCTGCCGTGGATGGCACAGACTGTGGAAACTGAGCTCGGGAGGACAGGCTGGGTTGTTAGAATCCTCCAGAGCTTCCAAAATCCTCCAGGCCTTAACAAAAAAAAATGCTTTCAAGCAGCAAGAAGCTGAAGAAGTAGAAGCAGCTGGAACACCCAGGTCTTGCTGGCCCAGTCCCGCCTTGCAGAAAGATCAGACCTCAATCTAACAATGGCACAGATTTCTGTTATAAAGACTTGTCAACATTTGTGCATCCTTACCACAGACAGAATTGCTATCAGCATAAAATCCATCATCACTTCCATAGGCTCCTTCCAGTGCGTCTTTGGCAGTATGTGTGTGTGCAGCTTGCTGTGAGAGGAGATGTTCAGGTACTCAATGACATCGTAGTAGGTGCAGATATACCTGGGAGCAGCTCCTACTGGAAAAAATATACACTTCAATCAGAAAAAGATCAGGAGAGATTTCCACCTGTGAAAGAGAGATGTATGAAATGAAGGGTATGGGGTGATCATCGATCCCTTCTTGCACTGATGAGAACAGAGCTCCTCAAAGCTTTTCCAGTCCTCTTGAACTTACCTGTCCCAAGAGAAAGTGTGAGCAGAGCTATAAACGCTCGCTGCATCTTCTCCTGCTTCCAGATAGAGGCAGATGGTACCGGGTACCTTACGAGCGGTTCCAAAACACGTCATTTGTTATGCAGAAGTTGATTTGATATTTACTAATGAGGGATTGGTGTTTTGTAAACAGGAGCTAGACTCTGTATTTGCATTGGAAGGAAGACTTTGCTAATGGATTGACGCACTCAGCAGGCTCTTGGGAGTGGTGTTTAGTTGTGGTAAAGGAAAAAGAAGAGCATTAAACAAAGATCCAACAATTTGAGGGAGAGAGAACAAAGGGCTCATATCCACAAAGGAGAGGCTGGGAGCCAGAGCCACTCAACAGCAAAGCTTGTCTCATTTGCAGGACCAATTGAAACGGAATAGGAAAATTAGCTCTGGGGAGCAGAGAGACTGCTCTCCCTTTTCCCTAAGCACTGAGCACTTTGTGCAATCACTGATGTTGTTTCTGCCTTCTAGGTGACACCCTGTCCTCCTGAGGTGCTGCTCCAAGTCCTCACTGTTAAGATTCTTAAGTCTCAGAAATGTTTATTTTACATCTCCCTCTGCCCTTCCTTCGGCCATCCTCCTCTCTGCCCGTGTTCCTGCTGTAGCTCCAGTGATGCCTTCAGGTGCACTGAGTGACGCTTCGAGTGTGGGGGAACAGCCCCATTTATCGTGTTCTTGGAAAATCCCATTTCCCTGGGATACTGCAGATGCAACCTGAGCACGTCCAGTTGTGTGGGACAGGAAGAGGGAAAATATGGGCCATACAGCAGGGTTTGAACCAAACAGAAGGAGATGGGTGAGCCATGTGATGGCGCAGGAGCTGATGTGGGCAGGCATCGCTGGGACAGGAGCAGTGCTGGAGGTCGTGTCCAGCAGCTGTGAGGTGGGAGTGGGCTGGGACTGAATCCGTTCTGCTGCTCTGCCAGCTTTTGGTATCCAGCATCGTGCTGCAGCACGGCCCTGGGCTCCGCTGCACAGCTCTCCTCTGCAGCTCACCTTGGGGCGCCTGGGCTTCAGTCCCCTGTGCAGTGAAAACAGCAGCTTTGTCCCATTTGCTTTTTCCGGGTTCCTCCGCTCTCGGTTTGCCCGGTCTCCTCCACCGCTCCTCGTCACGGCACTCCCAAACCTTCCCCAGCTCTCAAGGCGCGACCCACGGATCGCTGCCGGCCCCGCGCTGCTCTGCGCGTCCCCACGTCTGAGAGCAGCGCCGCCTGGGCGCAGGGCTTCTCCTCAGAGACCAGAACCCGGCCGGCAGCCCCCGACTGCGGCTGCGGCGGAAGGAAGAGCAGCCCCGCGGATGGACGCGCAGATCGCTGTGGCACCGCAAGGTGACGGGAGCCCAAGCGGACACCGAGGCCCAGGCCGGCCGGCGGGGCGCTGCGCGATGTCCGAACGCCCCAACGCCCCACCCTCAGGCGCCCCCAGGGCCGAGCGGCGCCCGGGGCGGCCGGAGGCAGCGGGCGGGCCGCGTGGGGGCTGCACAGCCGTGACCGCGTGGCCTAATGGATAAGGCGTCTGACTTCGGATCAGAAGATTGAGGGTTCGAGTCCCTTCGTGGTCGGATAGCGTGCTCCCTCCTTTTCCAGGCGCTCCCTCTTCCCACCCGCCCACAGGAGGCAAGGAGCACGCGCACCGGGTTTGGTTCCCTCCTATACGCCCAGCCCGGCCGCGGCGCGGCGGATTTCCCTTTTTCTTTTCTACGCGTGCGGGGTCGTCCTGCAGCACGGCCAGGAGCCGCGCGTGTCCCCGTGTCCGTCCGTCCGTCCCGTGTCCGTCCCATCTCCCCGCGGGGCGCAGCGCGAATCCGCCGCACTTGCGGCCGTTCCCACGAGCGGGAGCGCGCATCCCGCGCAGCCCCAGTGGCCTAATGGATAAGGCACTGGCCTCCTAAGCCAGGGATTGTGGGTTCGAGTCCCATCTGGGGTGAGCAAGCCGCCCTTTTCTCGATTTTTTTTCATTCCGTTCTCCCCGTGTCAGTGCGTGTCCATACAGACGGCGCGGGGTGGGAGGGTACGGTGAGAAGGAATTTCGCACCCCCGGGACAGGGGGACAGGAAATCAATTAGGGATCTGAATGCAATGGAAGAATTAAGGGCTGAGCTCAATCAGAGTGACACAGCTCTGTAACCCCGACGCATGGGTAGCGCCGTCTGCAGGGTTTGCGGAAGGGAAGGAGCGGCGGGGCAGCAAGGGCTGCGTCAGTGGAAGAGTCTCAGAATATCCCGAGTTGAGAGAAACCCTCGAGGACCACTGAGTCCAACCCCACACTGCACCACCCCACCCCACCCCCGTCTGTCAGCGGAGCCCCAGCGCTCCTCAGCTCCGGCCGCCCTGCTGTGCCCACCGCCCTCGGGTCCGCAGCCTTTCCCAGCCCCACCCGGCACAGCGCTGCGCCGCTGCTTCGGGCCCCGCCGCCATCAGCAGATGATGGACGCCTCCCAGAGCAGGACAGGACCAGCACTGATGGGAAGGACTTACTGAGAGGGGAAGGAGGTTTCACTCCTCCACCGCGCAGAAAGCCCGTCTCTGTGCGGAGCTGCGCGGTGCGGGCACTCTGTTGAGCCGCGGTGCCCTGGGACCACAGCCCTGCGCATAAATGCTTGAGGGGCGATGCCTCTCCGTTTTGTTGCATTAAAAAGCTGTTCGAGGGTCTTTTTTCCTACAGAGTTAATGGACTGTAAAAGGCAGCTGTGGTCAGGGTAATATCACACCAGTGAAGTTTCTTTCCAAGTTATTTCTCCCTGTGGGAGGAAATGACTCAGCTGCCTGGAAAGCAGAGCCATTTTGGCCCGGATCGACCCCGCGCTGCGCTGCAGGCAGTGCCCTGCAGGTGCTGCAGCTGCAGTCACGCTGGGATCTCCACGGCCCTTGTTGGCTCACTGCCCGCTTTGGGGGACTGCATCAGCTCCCGCTCCGGCGCTATCTGATGGCCCTTCTGCTGTTTCTCTCCTTCCCCACCTCTGGGCCGAGCTTCTGGCAGGAGGAGACCGCGCGCGTGCCGCTCCCGGGAGCCGCGCTCCCGGCCGAAGGGCGCGGATTGCGTGCAGAGGGAATGAAACAACTCCGGGAAAGATAAGCGTAGAAATTCTGCGGTGACGCGTTCCCTAGCGGTGGATTCGAACCCGCGGTTCCCCCTCCGCAGTCCGGCGTGCTGCCCGCCGGGCCACGCGGCGCACGTCCGTGGGCGCTGCCCCCCCCGCGGCACCCGGCGCGCCCCTCCCCCCCTCGGTTCCACGCTGGCTGAAGCCGAGCTGCGTGGCCGCGGGGATCGAAGCCCCGAGCCTCCGCCGGCAAGGAGGCCGAAGCAGCTGCTCTGCCCTCGGGGCTCCTGGGAAGCCGTTTTAGGACTTGTTCAGAAGCACGGGGTTGAGCCGCTCCCTGCACCGGCCTCGCTGCCAGCACGGCGAGGTCACCCCGGAACAGCAGCCGCGCTCCCGTGCCCCAGATTTCGGATTGCGTTTGTACGCCGGGTTTCTGCCGTCCCCAGAAGCGCGGTGTGAGCAGCCGCAGAGGAGAACATCGCCACACCGCCCGTGGGGCTCCTGTGCGGTGCAGCCGGGCAGGGCAGGGTGGGCTGCTGCGATGTCCTGCGGGACCCCCTGCCACTTCCTGCTGTCACCAGCGTCAGCTGGGAGCGCCGCGGTGGTTCCTGGGGGCAGGGAATGGAACGGGAACGGGACGTACACCTGTGCGGGTTGGGGGGGGGGGGGGGGGGGGGGGGGGGGGGGGGGGGGGGGGGAAATTGGGTGTCTGTCACTGCTCCCAGAATTCAGAGTGAGGGGACCACGTGGCCTAATGGATAAGGCGTCTGACTTCGGATCAGAAGATTGAGGGTTCGAGTCCCTTCGTGGTTGTTTTAAATCGCCCATCGTTTAATTTCAGCGGGGGGCACCCGTGTGGCACAGCCTGCCGTCACGGGGGGGGCCGCAAGGAGCGGACGGGCGCAGTTTTGGGCCAGGCGGTGCCGCTGGAGCTCCGCTCCCAGCTGTGGCCGATTCCGATAAAAGGCGGGAGTGCTCAGGTGCTCGGTGGCGGCGTTTTCACTGCAGGACAGTAAGAAACGTGAGGAAGGTGGGCAGAACCGGGCTTTTACTCCGTGTGAGGCTCGGGCCCACAAACCCCGCTTTAAGGAGGCTGCTACTCTGTCCGTTCTGGCCCTGGGCAGG